CAATCAACAGCTTCCTATTGATAAGCCATATAACTTAATAATAAAATTGAATTTGTTTAAATATCTTACTGAACGAATACATTAAATATGCGTTGATATCGAGATCCTGATCATAGGCCCTGATAGTGTTTGCAGTCCAATCCGTTTGGTTTTCATCAACATCTAGTTCGTATTCTGTTTTTTCGAAAGCAGGGTTTAAGTCATCTCCATCGATTACTGTTATTACCAGTGTCGTATTTCCTCCCTTTTTAGGTACCGATTCTACTTCTTCCTGTTTATTAATAACGTATTGAAAAACACATCTGACTACACATTTATTCATTAGAAATCTTAGGAGGAAGTAAAATACAATACAAAATGCCCTCTAAGGATAACCAAAAGTAAAGCACTATCGAGGTTCTCCTCCAAAGCATCGTAAAATAAACATTGCAACATTACATTTAAGTAAATCTATGTGTCTCTGTTTATTAATTATTTATTATTCAGGAAAAACAAACGATAAAGAGTACAGCTGATTCCTTACCGTAATTTGGATTGTTAGATAGTATGTTGGGTGAAGTTCAAAATCAAGAGTTGAATTGACAATAACCTTGTCACCTTTAAATTCGAACGGTGGATTATCCTTAAAAACAATTAAAAATAAATTATTTGTTCTGGTGTAAATATATAACAATATATAGGCCTATAAACAATAGTCACGTGTTCTCTCGTCAAAATTGGCACGCTTTACAGAATTTTAATATACCTTTCACTCTTTAATAATTATGTGTTTTATCTATATTATTTGATTTTTTTCACAGGAAAAAACTAATTTTATGTATCACAAAAATAAGGTCGTTTCCTACACAAACCACTCATATACTATCTCTCTCTCACCCCCCTCACTCTCTCTCCTATCCCTCTCTTAAGTCTTTAGCATCATGCATGCTAATGACATTTCCAGACCAATAAAATTATTCCACTTTTCCTCAACATAACCCAGTTAACCATGTTTTTTTAGTTACTGTTCTTGCGGAATATCGTTAATGATTGGGCTTAAGAAATATAAATCGAATTGAAAGGAGACAATCAATCTCAACAGCAAAAATGAATATCTTACCGGTTCTAGAATTGCGCAAGAGGCGGTGATACTAAAGGCGAGGTCGAAAATGTCCTTGTCGGTTTTTTCGCTCGAACAATCGAAATTATTAACCTCTGTACCAATCAGTGCCAGCTAAAAGATGGAAAGAACCTGTCATTTTGAATTAAAACTTATGTTATGCACCTTTCGTTCTCAAGAATTATGTTAACTTTATTTGAATTACTGAAGGGAGAACATAAATTAGGATGAACGTTTTTAACGAGCCTGCTAATTTTAGATATTTATCATGTTTGGGCCTGTCATATACTGCTCCACAATACAACGGATCAGAATTCATGAAAACTACCTGTCCAGGCAACATATTAAGGGATCTTACTACAAATTATAACAAATACACTTTATAACAGATTTCCATTTCTATTCACTCGTACCTCATTTTCACATTATGGTAATTTGCACTCCCACAATCTTACCTCGTGAAGTTCGTCTTCATAACGTGTCCTGTTGAATGTGGGTTCATTATCGTTAATAGCAGCCAATGTCATAGAGACGGACTTGTAATGAAAACAAAATTAACATTATATTAACCTATAAAATGTTTGGTCTGTTCTTTTACTAAAATCACTGGAAACCCAACACTCCCGCGGATAAAAACTGTAGCTAGGCGAGAGCAAAAGATACTAGAAAATAGAAACACAAGATAGAGTTCCCCCACAGAAAAAAAAAAAACTGTTACACCGAAATGCATGGTGGGAATACAAACAATGGAGCGCCGCGTACGACTGGATCCAAAAACTTCTGCCACCGTTACACTGTGAATACATTACATAACTGGTTACAATACATAGTCTCCTTTAGCGGAGGTTGAAATCGTTGCCATTATCCATAAGATAGGCATAAATAAATCCAAACAATAAAATGACAGACACAAAAGCGCAGAATCGTATGACCAGACTCTGATTAGTGATAAAGTTTTCCTCCATAGTGGAAAAAGAAGGGCGCCGTGTGCGTCTGGATACACCTAGCAACAGAAGGGCGCCCTATACGTCTGGACCAAGTTTAGAAAATGCGCCCTCAATTTACTCAGAAAGTTCAGTACAGCTAGTTACCTGTATGTTTGAAACTCGAGCGTTGCGGTGTTTGAGTGTAATGTACACGATTTTAATTTTTATTCCTTGGTACTTTATTTTTGAATAAGATGCTTCACTTGGCCTCGTTTTGGCTACAATAGTTTAATAATTTGTTATTACCATTACTCATTATCATTAATGAAATAATAGTCAGTCAGAGATAATATGTATACTAAGCCTGAAGGTGGCGCTTTACTACGACGGCCATCTTGGATGGTACACATACATAACTCTGCATTGCTGCGCCATCTTGTCAGCACTCTAGTTGTTTAATAGCTCTATGGAAAACTTGCATTATAAAACCCCCTCGGCTGAACCCGTTGTATTTAGCAACTACCTATAAATTTTTATATATGAACTCTACCTATAAAAAGAGAAAGGCGCCGCCTACGTCTGGCCCAATTCCGCCTAATTTTTGCTATGCGAGATCTTGTATTACAAGTATCTTTGGCAAATAAACTAAGGAACTTTCGTTGACGCCTTTATATCCATTTTTAATATCATTCTTGTTTGATACGTGTCCAGTGGTACGCAGATATGTCTTATAAAGAAAAGAATAAAAAGGCAAACTCTAAACCGCCTTGCAGTAAAGCTATAATATTTAACGTTAAAGAGGAATCTATCGAGTGGGAAAAACGTCGCATCAACCAGGAATCGGACTCGGTATCTTTTGCTGTCTGTGCATAAATTTTAATCAACCGTGGTGGCCTTATTGGGAATTCACATCCGCAATTATTGATAATACTGTAATGTTTAAAGGACCTGACCTTTGGCACTCATTTTGTGCATGAGCAGCACTATTAACAATAATAACAGAATATCACATTTTCATTACATTTTGAAATCAATCATAGTACAGTTAAGAGATAACTCTAAATCATCTTACAGTCGTCTTGTATATAGGTTACTAGTGTTGTATCGGCCTAAAGCCTCAATGGCCCAGATGAGGCGCTGCATAGACAGCAGAAGGACCCATGGATTTCAATCCGGGTTGGGGCATTTTTTTCGCTCTCATAGATTCGCCTTCTTTACCATTTCCTTTTAAAACCTGCTCATCACTACAAAATATATGCACTGACCAAATTTCTAATTTCTCAAATGATGGCTATAGCCTGGAGGCCTCCGCTGGAAATTGTCATACCATTGTATGTCAGCTTTTTGAATAATTCATAGATCAACTACTGGATAGAGAATTTTGAATGGGGGTTCAAGTGATTTCTTACAATATATACAGAATCATGCAGAGATTTTAACATAAAATCTTGTAGGGAACCCCACCTCTCTACGTGGAATTTCTGAGCACTCTCTCAAGGTGGTGAAAATATTTTCCTTG